GGTTACAGCCCCACCTGCACGAGAGAAACACTGAGCTCTGCTCGGAACTGTAGCTGTGTCCCTACCTGCTACTCAGCCTGGTGAACTAGTCCAACATGTCCTGCACCCTCGGCAGCGGCCCTTCCTACAGGGCTCCCTCCGACTGGGTTGCCCAATTTCCACTTGATTCCATATAACTGTTCTTGGGTTTATAATTTCCTCTGCTCTGTAGTTGAACATCACTCATCTGACCATCGAGAACAATTACTTTCTGGTAGCAAAAGGGCCCTTCTACCACCAGAATTCATACCAGTGAACCCACAATGCCGCTCTATTAGCAAGAACCGTATACTGTGAACTCTTCTTCCCCATCAAGAACACTTTCTGTCCATTTCGAGGTCCAGATTCTTGTCTCCTCGGGTGGCCTCATCTGAACGACCAAGCAGCAAACGCACTGTCACCGAGTGTGTCTGTGGGCACTGAGCAGGGGGCACTGCCTTGCTGAGTGTGAACTCAGGTAAAGTTCCTCACCCCAGGGCCCAGCACAACACAGGTGCTCAAAGAAGTTAATTCTCTCGGTAACTGCTTGTTCCTCTGTTTATTTTAGATCTTGAGGTTCTGAGAGGCCCTTACTCCATATCACTAACCAAATCTCAACGCTGTTATAAACTCTTAAGAGTTAAACCCTAGGCCAAGACATGCAGCCTGTCCTGAATCACTCGCTGGGTTCGGAACTACCGAAATGAGCAGGACACATGATCCCAGTTCAGAAATCATTCGTGTCTCCGTTTCCTCGGAAATCATGATGTTACAGTGAGGATCTCAGGCTGTCCCACAAAAGCCTATTTACCCCACAGTACACTGAACACAACACTCGTGTTTTAGCCGGGATCTACCACAATGCCCGGACAGAGCAGGCACTCGGGTATTTGCTGGATAAAGTTAGGAATTCCTGCAAAACGGGCAGGTGCACAGCGGCTCTGGAGAGATCGCCACCCTGAGTCCCAGGGGATGCTTATCTCCCCATCTTCCTTTATGTGACCTCCATTTCCTAGTCCCCTCTTCCCAACGTGGCTAGTGCCCTCCTGGCCTACAGATGCCAGATGTCGGCACCAGAGCTGCCTCCTGCCAGTTACCTGGGCAGCTGTCTCAGCTGCACACACCAGGAGGCTCGAAACCTGTTCTTTCACAATGAAATGTGAATACCGGATGAATTTTAACAGGTCCAGGGATTTCTGGCTCTTCAAAGATGCCTGACTACCCAAACCCAACTTTGTGTGGAGTACAGAAAAATGAATAAAATGGGTCTACACAGCAGAGATTAGTGCTGCCGGGGAGACTATTTCTAAAATATTTCTGCTTTTCTTTTTTCTTTTTTAAATATTTTTAATCGATTTTTTTAGAGAGAGAGATAGAAACATCAATCAGCTGCCTCCCGCATGCCCCCTACTGGGGATCGAGCCCACAACCCGGGTATGTGCCCTGACCGGGAACAGAACCGGGACCTCTCAGTCCACAGGATGATGCTCAGTCCACTGACCCACCCCGGCTGGGCTATTCCTGCTTCTCTGAGCAACGCCCTTCTCCACCACCACTCTGAAAACGAATGATGTTTTTACAGCTCTATCACATCTTCAAGTTGCCACGGTCACAGCAGGTGTATCATTATGCTGATGAACACGGACGGGGGCAGTGGAGTTTGGCCTTGACAGCGTTTTCCCAACCAGAACAGAAGCCAAGGGGTTCAAAATTCAACCTAACATGTCCTCAAAAGACAGTCACCTCCAAAGTGAGCGGAGCGACAAGAAGGATTCAGATGTCCTCGCTGGGTCAGAATTCTGGCTTTACTCATCCTGGCATGGCCAAAAGGGCCTATTAGTTATCTTTAAAAAAAAAAAAAGTGTGAGGGGAGGAGGGAATGCCACGTATCTCTAATAAGCTCTCATGTTTGTGGGGGAGAATAAACTGGAATTGAGAATCCTAAATCAGAAGAAAATGGATCCTTTCAAAAAAAAATCTATACAGGATTCTGCATGTACATGGGTTCACTCCTGCTGCCTTAGGCATCAATTAAGTGTAAAAACAGAAAACATCAACTCGGCCAGGGAAAGAAAAAATCCAGATCCTGAATCCCAACACACACTGGAAACTGATGCCTGATACACGCTTCGAAAGGCAGCAGCCTCACTAAGAAGTGGCACAACCCCTTCCAGCAGCAGCAAAATGCTTAAGAATCAAGGCAGTGCTGGGTGTCCGGAAAGGGAAATAAAACTGAATTTGCCTACATCAATTAATAACGCTATTAAGGCTACTAAGACACACCTCCAACCATATTTCTCTTCACTGCAAGAAGGCCGAAGGCCTTCAAAACAGAAGCAGCCATTATCCCTGCCGTCGTGGTGGCTTTCGTCCCTCCCACCCCGGGTGACACGGCAGACAAAGCACCTGCCCATTCGCTGGGCCTTTCTGCCAAGATCTCCACGTACTCGGACAAGTGTTTATTAGTCCTGACAACACTCCAACAAAGAAGAGAACTGGCCACTAGAGCCGCTTTATTTTCCTGGGGCAAGGAGAGTAGATTCAGCTGGTGAACCAAAGGACTAACTCAAGGTTCCAGGTAGGTCAGGGAAGTGAACTCAGGACTCACCTGTTCTTCCTCAGCTCCTCCACAACCTCTCCAATGGTCCCTATGGCCGCATTTCTCTAGTTTTCTGTAAGAACAGAAGTACCTGGAGGGCATAGGGCCAACTCTTCCTAAAGGCTGTTAGGAGGCAGCACAGAAGTCCCAGTATGATATTTAATTTCAAAATCACTGCAACAACAATGATGTAAAACAAGAAGTTCACGTTTCCTCCCAGCAGCCCCTCTGTGGTGAGCTCACTGTTTAATCAGCACCAGACTCTGGACGAAGCAGCCTGAGCACGTGTGTACAGGCCTGAGCGGTCAGCAGGGGCGCGTGACACAGGCGCAGTAACCTCAGCTCAGACTGGCAGACCCAGTCACTACATCCTGCGGTCTTAAAGACACACTGTGTCTTAGACACAACGGCCACAAGAAGAAAGGAAGGCAATTATAATAAAACTTGACGTGGTTCTCAAGAATCCAGTCATACGATTTTTTAAAAGCAATCCTAGGTAGTGAAACATAAAATTCTGCAATAGTTTACCATCTAAATCAGCGTATTTAAACTAATAAAAAGAAATAAATACCAGAAAGGCAAAGACCTAAGAATATGCTTAATTTTTCTCTGGACCGCAGGCCGATGCTCTAACCGCTGAGCCAAACTGGCCAGGGCTAATTTTTCTTAAAAGGAACTAAAAATGCCAATTATCCAAATGACCAAATGAATCGAAGGCAATTCTTCACTTGTAAAAGCCCATGATGGTAGAACCTTAAATGAGCTGTCTTTAGAGGTAACAACACGGAACAGACTACTGCTGCCCGTACTTGTATCGAAGGGCCTCTCTGTAGGAGCTCCCGCAGCCCACAGTGTACCCATAACCCTTACAACACGCCTGCCAGAGGGAGGAGGCAGGAATTAAGTCCACTTTGCAAATGAGGAAACGAAGCACAGTGAATGGGAGTCAGACTCCAGGCCACACAGTGGGTGGTGGCAGGTGCCCACCCCCTCACCCCACTTCCCCCCCCACCCCCGGCTCCCACACCGCACTCCAGATGTTAAAGTGTGTTGACAAAAGCTGTCTTTTTTGGAGGAAGGAGAGGATAGAAGGGAGAGAAGGATGATTTCATAACATCTGGGGAAAAGCTGTACTTTCATAAAGCGTGAAATAATGAAGAGAGAAGTGAAAAATCCAGCTGGCGCTGATACGTAGGAAACACGGGGCTGATGAAATAATAGCTATTTCTCTCCCAAAGTACGTCCTACCTTCACGTATTTCATGACTTATGGTTCTAACCTATTTTCTTGGCCCAGCTTATTCTCCCTATTCCTTAGCAAAGAAATGAAAACATGTAGACCTCGGCCAAGTAGCTTGGTTGGTTAGAGTGTTGTCCCAATATGCCAAGGTTGTGGGTTTGATCTCTGATCAGGGCACATATAAGAATCAACCAATGGCCCTGGCCTGTTTGGCTCAGCAGTTAGAGCATCAGCCCGTAGATCAGCCTGTAGACCAGAGAGGCCTGGGTTCGGTTCCTGCTAAGGGCACGTACCTCGGTTGCAGTTTGTCCCCAACCCCTGTTGGGGTCGTGTAGGTGGCGACCAGTTGATGTGTCTCTCTCACATCAATGTTTCTCTCTCTTCCCCCATCTCTCCCTCCCGCTCTATCTAAAGATAAATGCAAAAAAAAAAAATGTCCTCCAGTGAGGATAAAAAAATAAAATTAAAAAAAAAGAATCAGCCCTGGCCAGTTTGGCTCAGCGGTTAGAGCGTCGGCCTGCGGTCCGGAGAGACCCGCGTTCGGTTCCCGCTAAGGGCACGTACTTCGGTTGCAGTTTGTCCCCAGCCCTGGTTGGTCGTGCGGGTGGCAGCCACTCGATGTGTCCCTTCACGTTGATGTTTCTCTCTCTCTCTCCCTTATTCTCTCTCCCTCCCACTCTATCTGTACAAAAAATGGGAAAATATCCTCGGGTGAGGATAAAAAAAAAAAGAATCAAGCAATGAGGCCGGCTGGTGTGGCTCACTGGTTGACCACTGACCCATGCACCAAGAGGTTGCCTATTGGATTCCCGCTTGGGGCATATGCCCAGGTTATGGGCCCCAATCCCCAGTGGGGGGCATGCAGGAGGTGGCCAATTGATGTTCTCTCATCAATGTTTCTCTCTCTCTCCCTCTGTAAAAAAAAAATTAATGAAGGAAAAAAAAAATCAACCAATGAATGCATAAATTAGTGGAACAACAAATCAATATTTCTCACTCATTCCAAAAATCAATCAATAAAAATTTTTTTAAAAGAAATGAAAACATGTAGAACTGTAAACATCATCAGTTGTCAAATCATTAAGCTCCTCCCAGCATCCTCAAAGCACTGGAGATACAGGATTCCCTGGAGTTCGCTACCTACCTTTGCTTCATCGTTAATGTCCCAAGTGAAAGAAATGGCATTATAAGCGATCTCCTCAATGTTACTGATGGTATTGAAGCTTTCTTTATAGTCAGCTAGATAAGTGAAAAAAGAAAAAGAACTTGTGATTTCTCATTCCAATATGCCATTAGAGCAGTTCACAGTAAGATACAAGTTTTCATATCATCTCTGGGTAACTTAAATTAACATTTTGTTGGGTTAAAAAGAAGTTTTGTAATAGAGGCAAGCTTAGATATATTTAATTGTATCTCGGTATATCAAAATCAGGATATTTAGGTCTAAAAATGTTTAAATAATTGCCCCAAGGTCACAAAACTAGTCCAGAGAACCAAGAGTAGAACTCAGTTCTTTTGTTCTTTTATTCTTTTTTTTATCCTTGCCTGAGGACATTTTTCCATTTTTTGTTCAGATAGAGTGGGAGGGAGGGAGAGAAAGAGAGAGAAACATCAACGTGAAAGGGACACATCGAGTGGCTGCCACCCGCACGACCAACCAGGGCCGGGGACAAACTGCAACCGAGGTACGTGCCCTTAGCGGGAACCGAACCCGGGTCTCTCTGGACCGCAGGCTGATGCTCTAACCGCTGAGCAAAACCGGCCAGGGCAGAACTCAGTTCTTTTAATTCTTTTGAAAAGAGAACATGAACAGTATAAAGAAAAGGAGTAACACTAGCTTGGGAGCCTCCTTAAGATACAAACAACAGTTCTTTACGAAAAGTCTACACATGACAGGAATGGGTCTTCACCAAGCATGTCGCCGGGGACATGTGGCCTGCTGCTCACTGGGGACGGCTCCCTGGGCCTGTCCCTGGCAGGAGGGCCGAGCGTGCAGCTCAGCATGTCAGAGGGAAGCCTGTCGGGTAATTGCACGTCAGCAGCATTTTCTTCCACTCGGCGAGTGGTTGTTTTCCTATACCTTACTATCATCTCCAAATAATCAGAATCCTGTAAAGACATTACCCTGCAAAAAATCTGCAGGATCAAAAATCAGGATGCTCAGTGGGGCTGGCTTTGTGGCTTCTGGCCCTGGTGTCATATGGAAAGCCACTGCAGGGGGCACATGTCCTTATGAAGGAAGTAGTGTTCAGGGCACTGATTCCAGGAGGCCAAGGACAGTGTTTGGAACAGATCAGTAGCTGGCATATAAATTCAAATGCTTTCGGCAGGAAGCTAATCACTGCCAAAAATAACTGGATCTGGACAACGGGATGCCTGCGCCTCTGGGAACCCGCGGGCTTGGGCTCCGCCGCTCACCTATGTCAATGCACCTTTGTTTGGCCGTGTGCTGCCGGGAGTGCCAGTACTTCCAGTGCCGTAACTGGTCCTCCCTGCTTTTGTCTTCAGCAAACACCACCATGATCACACTCTGCGAGAGAGAATTCATCAACGCACAGACAAGACAGGGTGAGTATCTTTTGGAAAACTTTTTCAGTGTTAGATTTGATAGCTACGGCTTAAAACTGCAATTTTAGATCGTTTCGATCTGCTTCAGACCTGGAAATGTTAGGCTCGGACGGCTTTCCCAGAGAACAGAACTAAGAGCGGACTCACCCGCACTTTGCTGATGGGGTGGTGGATGCCCTCGCTGCTGCTCACTTCCTTCAGGGTGACTGGGTAGAACTGGCCTTTGTTCAGGTATGTCATAGTGCTATCTCCCGGCTTCTGTCGAAGCGATTTTGAGGCTTCTAGTGTATATTCAAAGTTGTTCCTAAAGAACAAAAAAGTCACAGATCTCTAGTCCACTCTCGGAAGCTTCCTGCACGCTTTAGCGCAATCCTGACATGCTTCAGTGTGGACTTAAGAAAATAAATCCAGACTACCAGGAAACATCCCACTGACTGTGTCCAATTAAAAACAGCATTTGCTACTTTTTCCATGATAAATATAATCTAAGCAACACAGAAATTCTTAAATGTCTCACATGTGGGACTACAAAATGCCTACCAGAAATTCCATGAAGTAATGTTAACAATTAGGAGTTTGGAGGCTAAGAATATTAAAGATACTAGTAAGTGAAAAGGACTTTGGAAGGAAATCTCACAAGACATACTGCCAATCTGGTATTGACCCAGCAAAGGTTGCAAAGAGGTGTCTGGTAGTCCTCTGATTAAATTTGATTTGGTCTGCACAATACATTTTTGTTGTTTTTGCTTGTAATTTATAATTTTTTTAGTTTTTAAAGATTTTTTATTGATTATTAGAGAGAAAGGTAGAGGGAGAAAGGGAGAGAAACACCGACGTGAGAGCAATACATCAATCGACTGCCTCCTACATGGCCCTTACTGGGGATTGATCCCACAACCCGAGCATGTGTCTTGACTAGGAATCGAACCGGCAACCTTTTGGTGCATGGGATGATGCCCAACTGAGCCACACCGGCCAGGGCTTTTTAGCTTGTAATTCAAATGTCTTCAGATGGGCACTCCACAATTCTCTACACTTCCTATTACCTTCGGGTACATCCATAAAGCCCCCTGAAGTTGTTCAATCACCTGCCTAGCCCAGGGGTTGGCAAACTACCCATATTTTTATAAATAAAGTAAATCTCTTTTTGTAAATACAATGTATAAAATAAATCTCTTTTTGTAAATACAATGTATAATGTATTGGAATACAGCCACACCCTTGGTTACGTGTTATCTGCAGCTGCTTTTATGTTACAGCAGCAGGGCTGAGTGGTTGCCACAGGCTGCAGGCCCACACAGCGGAAACTGTCCACTATCTGATCCTTTACAGAGAAAGTCTGCTGACCCCTACCCTAGACCCTAAAGGCACTGGAGTCTGTGACTCCTGCACCTTGGGGCAGGCCTTTAAGGGAAGTCTTGATTCCCATAAAATCCTAGACTTCTAAATAAAACTTTTTTTTTTCAAAATATACACACATTAAAAAATACATAAAACAAAAATATAAAATAAAATCTTAAACTCTTTCCAAAAAATCTGAAGGTGTTTACATATGTTCATAATTAACTGGGAAAATATCCATATTCCGAGGGTGAGATACCACATTGTGAGGTTAAGAGGAGGAAGTTATCAGGTCAGAAAAAAGGTGACTTCCTTTATTTTATCACTAGTGAGGCTAATTAAAAAATAAAAGCCTTTATCCACCTGATGCTACTCCTAGATTCTCATAGAATGATACACTTTGGAAAGACTTCTGGGACCTCCGGGCTCTGACTGACACTCTTCTTTCAGGTTGCATTCTACCTCCATCCCATAAAGAAACCAAAGGGCAGAAGCACCAGCACCGAGAATTAAAGAAACACGAGCCACAGTTCAGAGTTCAAAGCTGAAAGCACAAAGCAAACGTCCTCCAGCGCAGGGAGAGGTTCTTGCCAGAAGCAGCAGTAAGGTGCAGGTGAAGGCCCGCCAAGGCCACCTCTGCTCTCTCACTATCAAATGAACAAAAAAGAAGGAAAAGTTAAAATTCAAATTAAAAGACAACTATTACCCAGAAACACTGTCAAAAACATAGTCCTCTGAATTCATGCCAGGCATCCGCAGACTGAGATCCGAGGGGAAGAACACCTGAAACAGCAACGTAATGAGCCACAACTATTTAACTGGTCATCAGGCGTACTCGAGCCCCACGTCTGCTACAGCAACCCACTACTCTGTCAACATTCATCTGAAAATAAAAGTTTTAACTCTATGAAAACTTAAAAAAATAAAAATATCCATTTTACATGCCATGCAATTAAACTAGACTATGTAAGTACTGCCACAAAGCGCTTTACTAACTCCCTTCCCGTCTTTCCCACGCATCCTCATGGTATTCAAATTCTAGAATCTGCAACCAAATCCCCATGACTCTTAGGAGTCAGAATTATCACGTGTCAGTTAAGAAAGGGTATCAAGCTCACACACGGCTGGCTGGGCTGACTGGTGCACTCTCTCAGGACGGGTTACTGCTCTACCCCTGACTGCATGCGCACAGAGCTACCCCCCACCCCTGACCCCACCGTTCAATAGTTCTAAACATCTTCGGTCCCTAACTTTTCCCTGAGAGGTGTTTTATCACCACAAAAGCCTCAGGAGCATCTGCTGTCCGTCTGTAAATTTCACACAACGCACTTGTCACCCAGACTCGCCTGCCTCCTTGACCAAGACTACCAACCTAGAACACTAGCAAATAAATACATGAGAAATCATTTTGCATTAAAACCAGTTGCAGTGAGCTTGTTTTAGTCTAGGACAAGAGCCAAAAACAGACTATGTGGACATATCTGTTTCTGATAGAAAATTATGTATGGGGTTCTCTTTCTCCTTCTCCAGCAAGTCACTCGGCTGAAATCACAGTTGTAAACTCAGCTGCTGGTAAGATTAGCCATGTGCCCCTGATGATAATTTCTGGTTTTATAGGTTTGGTTTACAAATTATACCCATGGGTCTTTTCTCTTTAAAAAAATAAAAAACTCCACTTTTGTTCCTAATCCATTCATTCCAGGCAGAGTTTCAGGCTTACATAACAAGGAAGGGGTGGAACCCGATATTTATACACACACAGAGCCATCTTAGGAAGATGCTTTTGTTTCCTGTACCTCCTGAACGCCTTCCTTGAAGGTCTCTGAGAAGGTCGAGTCTGGGGTTCGCCTCTGAGCATTTGGGGGTTGAGCACCAGAGCTGAACTGGTCAGCAGTATTAAGGTTCCGGTCGAAAACCACCACCCGCTCAACGGGCTCAGGATGATACACTGCGGGAGGGACTCCGACGGCAAAGCCGTGGGGCTGGGTTTCTGTCTTGATGGAGTGGGTAGGCATTGTTGCTATGGAGACAGTGACTGTTGTATCAGGAACTGTTAGATGGCCTCTCTTATCAATGCCCAGTTGGTTGCCATGGGGAAGGACAATGTTAAATGGCACATTTTTCAGAACTTGTACTCTGTTTTCTCCAGGAGAAATGAGGGACTGCTCAGTCACATTTGGCATGCTGTTTCTTTAAAAAAAAAAAAAAAAAAATGTTTCAATGCTAATACAGTACGACAATTTTACTTTTATTATTTTATTTATTCATTTATTTATTTACTTAAATCCTCACCCAAGGATACGCTTTTATTGATTTTAGACAGAAAGGAAGGGAGAGCGGAAGAGAGGAAGGGAGGGGAGAAAGACAGAGAGACAGAGAGAGGTAGAGACATCAATGTGAGAGAGAAACATCGATCGGTTGCCTCCCGTACACGCCCCAACCAGGGATCAAACCAGCAACCCAGGTATGTGCCCTGACTGGGAACTGAATTCGCAACCTTCTAGTGTACGGGACGGTGCTCCAACCAACTGAGCCACCTGGCCAGGGCGGCAGGTTTTTGTTTTTTTTTAATCCTCACCCGAGGGCATTTTTTGATATTTTGTTCAGATAGAGTGGGAGGGAGAGCGAGAGGAAGAGAGAGACAGAGAGAGAGAGAGAGAGAAACATCGACGTGAAAGGGACACATCGAGTGACTGCCACCTGCACGACCCAACCAGGGCTGAGGACAAACTGCAACCGAGGTACATGCCCTTAGTGGGAACCGAACCCAGGTCTCTCTGGACCGCAGGCCGACGCTCTAACCGCTGAGCCAAACTGGCCAGGGCAGGGCGGCAGTTTTTATTTTCCTCCTGGCACTGGCTGTTGGGCCCTGTGCAATAATTCTAACACACCTGATAGAAACTAAAGGAGAAAGTAGCAGGACAACCCATTACTAGAGAAGGAAAAGAAGACTTCACAGCTACAAGTCAAATAAAATCCAAAAGTATGAAGCAAAATTTCATTTGAATACTGAGAACTCAGAGTTCTACTCTATTACACTTTATTTTTAATAATTCTAATAAAATTACCAAATTCTACTAGAACCTGAAGCAGGTTAGCTGGATCCATCCAGCATGGCGGCACACACAGACTCTCAAGTCAGACGGCCTGGGTTCAAATTCTGTACGACTTTGAATAAGTTATTTCACTTCTCTGTAACTACATGCTCACCTATGAAATGGGGATGTGGTCAGGATAAATGAGTCGATATAATGAAATGTGTGTAACATAACGGATCAAAAACTATGAGCTATTATTACTTGGCCACCATTTTTCCTAGTACTTATACTTACTTAGCTTTCTCTTTCACCAAAAGAAAGCCTCTGATTACATTATACCAGTAGATATATTTGCATAAAATTACTTTTGCTTTAATAAATATCCTGGGCAATATAAGATGATTATTAGTCTAGGGTAAAATGAATAAATGTTTAAAATCCCCTCAAATCATATAGGCTGATACTTTTAAAGCAAAAAGCAATTTGGCAACTCTATACATTTCAAGATCAATAAAATGTTCAAAACTTAAACTAAATTCACACTCAGAAATTTTTCCTAGGGAAAGAGAAAAAGGAAAAAAGCTAGCCAGAAAATTGATCATTAAGGCTTTATAACAGTATAAAGAATAGATACCGCCTTAATGTTAAGTATAGCTAGGTTTCATTTTAAAATACTCTAGGCAAAAATAAATTTAAGGAATTAATTTAAAAGTTGAAGAGCAGATCAAACAAGAGAAATTAAGTTGATAACTGTTGAAGCTGATAATGGTATGTGTGGGTTTATATTATTTCTCTACTTTTGTTATGTTTGAAAATTCCCATAATAAAAAGTAGAAAATACAAACCATAAGCCCTTTGCCAAAAAGGGTAATTATGAAGATTAAAACAACAACATGGAAAATACTTATGAAACACACTAAGTAGAAGAAAGCTTACTACCGAATCCTGTCCGTGAAGACAACCCCACCACATAAAATATGCAGACCCAAAGAGTAAACATAGTCAAGACAGTGTGATTCTGATTGATCAGTCTTTCTTTAAAACTGTTTTATTCCTTATTACTAATAGAACACAAAGCAATTTTTAAAGCATATTAAAAACATTTTTTTTTCATGGCTATAAAAGTTAAGGCTTAATTTAATTTTCTGAAAGTTTTAACCTAAAATATTTTTAAAAATAACTTCAACAGGAGTTCGGAATACAGTTGAATTTACTTTAAGTTTTGCTTAAGCAGTTATTCAAAATCACTGGTACTCAATTTTTTTAATGGACCCTCACCATTGCCTTAAGCTACATATTTCTTAAGAGAACATCAAAGACAAATAAGCAAACACTTATGTTATTACTAAAAACACCCCTTTGGAGGAGGAGAAAATTAATGCTTTGTTTTTTTTTTTTCTAGAAACGGCTACCATGTCTAAAGGAACTGGTAACTTCTCAGAGTAACAGAATCATAATTAGTAGGAGGCAAATCAGTAATGAAATCTAACTTTAGATATTCAAAATCCAACTTGCCTATCTCTTCCACTTGCACTTGTTCATCCGAACCAAGTCTCATCTTATTTTCACAGACACTTGCATTTCTCAAGAGAACTGTCTGACGCTCTATATTAGACATTACCTTTTGCTGTGGTCTGCCTCTGGGTGCTCCACATCGGCCTTGGCTGTGGATGCCCGTCTCTCTCTCGGAACCTTAGATAGTAACACACATGACAACAATTTAACCCTTACTTAGTGAAGGAGAGACACAATCTTCTACTCTTCAGTAAGTTCAACCGTTTGTTTTTTTTTTTACTTTTTTTTTTTAATCCGAGGATATTTTTCTGTTTATCATCAGATAGAGTGGGGGGGGGGGGAGAGAGAGAGAGAGACAGACAGACAGACAGACAGACATCAACTGATTGCCTCCCGCATGACCCCACCAGGAAGGCTGGGGACGAACCGCAACCGAGGTATATGCCCTTGACCGAAATTAAACCCACGACTCTTTGGTCTGTGGGCCGACACTCTACCACTGAGCCAAACCGGCCAGGGTTCAAACATTCTTATATCTACTGAATGTCTACCAAACACCAGGTTCTGGGAACACAGAATGAATAAGACAGTGTCTTCCCTTAAGAGCTTACTATCTGGTTACCAGGTGGATGTAAAAACCAACTATTACTTAGTTACCAAATAAACTCAGGGCATCACAAATTTACTGTCATAGATTTGGGTTTTATCTCTTAAAAAAAGTACCTGTGACTTGGTTTTATCCTTTTATCTACATAATGTAAGAGACAAGAAGCTACTGAAAACACAACTGGGCTCTTTCAACTTTCTGCTACTCTTCTCTTTTATCCTTCCTTCCTTCCAGAGCAAATGCAGAATGCAAAGGGTCAGGCATGTCAACAGCACGCTTCCAAGATCTAAATGCTGGTTTCAAATGATAAATTTCTTCAGATACTTTGGGATTACTATGGTCCGTTATCCAAAGGACAAATCAAACTCAGTTTGTTCTATCCTTTTGTTGTTGTTAACCTCGCCCTAGGGTATTTTTTCCATTGCTTTTAGAGAGAGTAGAAGGGGGGAAGAGGAGAGAGAGACAGAGAAACATCGATATGAAAGACACATCAATTGGTTGCCTCCCGCATGCACCCCACTTGACTGGGGCCGAGGATCGAACCTGCAACTCAGGTACGTGTCCTTGACCAGGAATCAAACCCAAAACCCTTTGATCCACAGGCCGGCATTCTAACCGCTGAGCAACCACGGCCAGGGCTATCTATCCCTTTTTGATTCTGCTCTTCTTTGTATAGGAGGTGAAATCAGGCAAACATTACTGGGTGTACTGCAGACATCAACTCAAGTGAGACTTACTCCCAATGTGCACTCGAAAACTGCTAAGATGTTTGAAACTTATTTTACCCTTAAAGGAAAAGAAAGTATTGTTTCATGTATTAATAATGTGCTTTTAAAGCTTTACCAAGGTTGTTACATAAAAGTGACTGAAGGTTACAGCTAAAAAAACGAAACAGATAATTCATTTAAACACAAACAAACAAAAACCCCTACACTTCTCAAAAGAAGCTTGCCAGAGAGAACTAAGACTGTCACCCTTAATGAGCAGACATGAAAATTTATCCCCTCTTAAAACATAAAAAATATTTAGGACCCTTTATTTTTCACACATACACACACACACACACACACACACTCTACAATTAGTATTATTACATCAGTCATCAGTCTTTCTGGCACTAAACTTGTTGGTTTTCTCCCACTCTCAAACTTTCACTTATAAATATGTAACTTCAAACTTCATAATTGTTACTTAGGAACTTATGGTTTTTACACTGATTGAGTCAATAAAACAAGCCATAAAAAGAACAGATTATATAATAAATTCCACTTCAAAGGAACCCTTAGTGGCTACACTTCCCAGACAAGAGTTTCTTCCAGCATCATTAGTTACTACACCAATTTCCATTCATATTCAAAGAAAAAAATACTCACCTCACTCTCTGAAACACAAATTGACCACATGACCTCATACCGGAAAATAGTAAACCTCTGTTTAGGTCCCACCCTAATTTTGATAATCAAACTATATCCTTTGCTTTTTTCCCTCTGCATTTCTTATATTCGGGAAAGAATACAGGACCAGAATGTAATAAAAGGTGGGCAACTGGTCAGTCCAGGAGAAAGTACAAGGAATTAACTGTCGTGTTATTTAAGTTTTCACTGGGTCTGGACGTTTTCCAGTCTCACACATCCGCTATTGGTCGGAAGGAAGACTCGCTGACGGAGTCCAGCAAGCACAGCACGTTCCCCCGGACAGCATGGCAGACCCAAGAGAACGACCTCGGCACAGACCAGACCGGGCCTAAAATCCTGGCTGCAACCATCCTAGCTGTGTGACCTAAGAACCTTATTTTTCTCATCTGAAAACTAGGGGTAATGCCACACACTTTTCAGGGATTCTGGAGGCACTAGAAACAACACACATACTGTGAACACATCTAGCATGGTCTAGGTAGGCAGTAAGTGGTAGCGAGTATTACTAGGACAATGATGACGATCCAGAGCAATGGTCTAATGTCCACAAACACCATGTAACACTCCAGGCAGAGGAGAGACTCTGTTTAATTAAGACTCATCCAAATCTCTAGGATAGGCAACAAAATATATCCTGATCTTAGAACTAGAAAGTCTAAGACTAGAGCCCTGGCTGGTGTTCTCAGTGGTTAGAGCGTCGGCTCGGGTTCGATTCCTGGTCAAGGGCATGTACCTGGGTTGCAGGTTCAATCCCCACCCTGGTCAGCCTGTGTCTGGGAGGCAACCAATCCATGTGTCTCTCTCACATCAATGCCGCCACCCCCCCCCCTCCTTTCCACTCTCTCTAAAAATATCCTGGAAAAAATATCCTCGGGTGAGGATTAACAAAAAAAAAGAAAGTCCAAGACTAAAAAAATATAGTGTGTTTTTCATGAATCCTACAATCACATCAAATGAAAGGCTCTACAATGTCATGTAGGGCAAAGGAAATCACTATGCAGGAATGGGCCACGGGCACTCTGATGGCACTAGGAGCCGGGCACCTTCAGTACAATGTTCAATCTCAGTGAGACACATCTTCTACCTTCTTTTATGGTGGCATCACCTTCCAGAGTCAGAACAGCTGGCTACTTCACAGGTTTGAAAAACAACCCTTTGATTCTATGATCGGAGATCTTCAGCTTTGAACCATAGTAATTCAAAGTACTCATTAAACCATTTATAGTCACTACAGAAGCAACTTGCATTACATTCTACCAGCAAATTACTGTTTTATATGCCGCTGAATCAAGTGCATCACGGACTGCTGTTAAGGGTTTAAAGAGCCGGCAAGCCTACCTTGTAATAGTCATAGAGCAGGCCCAGCGCGGCTGCACTGTCTTCATCGCCATTGATGCTCATCATGGCCTTGGTGGCGGCAGTGAGCGGGTTTTCCAAGAAGGATTTCCAGGCTTCGTCCTCGCTGGTATAGGAGCGCCGCTGCGGGTAGAGTGCTTCATTCTGGAGAACCAACACTGGTCTTTTGCTTCAGAGAAATCAAAACAAAACATATATATATATATATATATTTCTACTGCAAGGCATCATAAGCTAATTTTTAAAGAACCAAACAACCAATTCATTGATGTTCCAGGAAAATAGTCCATTATTTCCTCAGTGACCCTGTACAGTAAATTAAAACAAGACTAGAAAACAACCCACTTAATTGTAGGCCAGGGGGTCACCGAGTGAGATATAAGGTATTTAGGCAGCCAAGGAACCTGCAGTTAACCTACACATGGAACCCAGGATATACTATTTGGCCGGAAAAAAAACAATATTGCAAGAAAATTCAGGCTGTTCAAACACTTATAAGCAAAACTCAAGGACAAAGTGAAGGCAAAACAGAACACTGACTATCTTCAGACATACGCAGTCAGGACCGTACCCTCTTAAAGAGAGTATATATGGTTCAGTCATCATGCCGCTACATGTTATTTCCCCCTTTCTCCTGCTGATGCCATGCCTTAAAAACTTCCCTACCACCGAACAAGGGGGAGAGGAGGAGGGAGTAGAAAGAAAAAGGGATACTTCGTTTAATCCTCCAGGGCATATGAGAAAGTTAGAATATTCTGCTGATTACGGGCAGATTGAGTATGGAATGTAGCCAAAGGGGACTGTAAATCAATAAGAAGGCATCATTTTCTGGAATGGGAGTTAACTGTTTATCTTAGAAATGAACACTTAGGAATCTGCAACAATAAATGAAGCTACTGAACACAAAGATTTTTAAGAAAATAGGAGGGAAAAGGTTATTTTTAAAAAGCTTTACCAATTTTCCACACTGGGAAAGAACTGTTTCATTTTTAACACTGTAGTTTGGTGGGAAAAATCCCCCCAAAATCAACGTGGGTCTTAGTAAGCTCTTATAGAAGATTTGATTTAAAAGATTAAAGCAAACATCACTGATTCCAAAAATCTGAAATGCAAACAGTCTCAATAACTGTTCAGTTGGTACTATTTAATAAGTCAATAAAGAGAAAAAGTGGAACACTAACTCCAGCAAAATGAAGTGTGTTTTTTTTTTAAGGAAAAAAAATTTAAACGTTCAGAACTACTCTGAATTATCATGATTCTAACAAGCAAATTTAAGGATCAGTTCTCATTGCAACACACAAATGAAACATGTAAATTGCCTAAAGGTGACCTACCTACTCTAAAAGTGAATGTAGAAAGACTGATTATCTTTTCAAGTAATCAGCAAAGGTTAGGGTTTGGCAGTCACCCAGGCCCTTTAAAAACAGATACAGATTTTAAAAAAAGAACAGCTTTGCAAAAGGGGGTGGGGGAATCCAACAACTTAATTTATCCTCAGTCAAAATTAAGCCAATGTTTTTATTCACATCTAGGCATAAAGCCACAGGAGCTTATATTTGGTAGGAAAAAAAAATCTTGAGGGAGTACACTATTTTAACACAAAACAAACAAAATGGGTTGTTGAAAAGAGACAAAAATGAAGAAATATACGAAGGGGCATTCCATGTGCCTTCATGAACAGAGCATACCAGCTACTGAGCCAGTGGTACCTCGGGATGACTTACTGGTGTACTGCTAAGCTATTATTAATAGTGTTAATAGCTACTTCCAAAAGATTATGACAGCACTTGGCTCATTCAATTCCCATAATGCTAGTTTTTCAGCTTCCCTTCTCCCACGCCTAGCCCAAATTTGTAGAAGCAACAGAAAATAAAATATTTTTTGCAAATCATTTTGTTTGTGATCACTCTGAAGGTGTCTTACATTTCCAAAGTGTGCCTAAAGCCAAAATCTTAGCTTTGGAAATGTGCCTCCTGTAAACTATATGTTGAGAAATAAATATGAAACCGGCTGCCTTTGTCCACTTCCTCATATGACAGGCTGTTGCTAGTCCCTAAAGGCTCAGCACTGCCCGGGGTGAGTCCAGACCTTTCATCAGTGATCTCTCAAAGACTTCCGATACTTTCTTTCGAGAGATCATTCAACTGCCTATTCCACAACAAAAGATTATTCCGTTTAAGATAGCCACACATAATATTTATCCCACTCATCCAGAAAGAGAGACACTTACATACACTGATTTGGTTTGTTGCGATTTGGGTTTTTTAAATATATTTGGGGGGAACAATTTTATATTTACAGAAAAGTTGCCAAGAAAAGGCCAGAACTATCCCTCACCCAGTGTCCCCTAAGGGGAAGGTCTTCTATTACCACCTTCCATTTGTCAAAATACTTCTTTAATCGCGAACTCCCAAAGGCAGCACATCCCGTACTTTCAAGTGTATCACCTTGATTTCGAAGTTTCATTCTCTCGATATTTTCCGAGCATGTTTAATCACAGTCGTCTGTAATTACCAGCAATGATGCCGGTGGCGAAAGAACTCCTACAGCGCCGTTCTCACGCACACCGCCAGCCGGGGAGGAGTGAGTGCCCGGACCCCGCACACTTCGACTGTTCCCTGAAGTTCTCCGGGGCCGGCGCACTGAGCCGGCGGAGCGACGAGATGACCCGGGGACTCGACCTTTCCAGCCGCGGGGCCCGTCGCCGGGCGCTCCACGGGCTCCACTGAGCAGAAGCAACCGGGGCGACCCGGGAGCGGGTACCGGGTGGGGGGCTTCCGCGAGCTGGAGCCGCAGCCCTCGAGGCCGGCCGCCCCGAATCTCCTCCCGTGAAACCCGGGCCACCAGGGAGCAGAGACGGGGGCGCGCCCGCTGAGACGGGGGAGGGCGACTCTACGGAGTCCAGTCCCCACGGCCAGGGTCCTCCCAGGGGGCTTCGGGGAAACTAAGTCGGGGGGGGGGGGGCGCAAGGGAACAGCGGTCGCGCAGAGAAGCGCGCAGACGGCAGGACGCGCGCCCCCCGCTCGCCCCGCGCCCGCCCGTCCCGCAGCGGCGCCCGCCCGCCCTCGCTCCGCCGGCCTCGCGGCAGGTGCGGCGGGCCCGGCGGGCAGCGGCCGCCCGGCCGGCCTCGCGCGGGCGCTCACTCACTTGTCGTACTCCTGTGTCATCGCGCTCGCTCGCCGCTGCCGGGCCGCAAAACTGGACTTTCGGGTTGGGACAGTACACCCGATCCAGGGGGAGGAGGTGCGACGGTGGCGGCGGGTCCGGAGCGGCAGCCCCGACGGGTTGGATTCGCTTTTCTCGCTCTGAGCCGGTCCGCGCGGGCTGCGCGCACTGGAGGCCCGGGCTCGGCCGCCCATTGGCTGGCGCTGCGCCGGCTCGGGGAGGGGCCTCGGGGCCGGGCGGCCGGCGGCGCCGCCTGATTGGCCGGCGCGCGGGGCGCCGGGACGGGGGCGACGGGACCGGGCCGCGTCGGTGAGGCGCGCCCGGCGCCGGTGCCTCCCGCCTGGTCCTGACGCGGCTGGTCGCGCTGCTCCTGGCGCGCACCTGCCGCCCCTCGGCCGCCCACCTGCGGGCCCGGCCGGGCCTCGGCGCCGCCTTCTCGGGCGCTGGGCGCTCGTCCTTCGCCGCGCGCCCACCCCAGCCCTCCGCTGGGGGGCCTCCCGCCCGCAGCCGCAGCCGCTGCTGGGCTACCCGGGCACCTTCCCGCCTGGAGTCTCCAAGCGCCCCGACCCCCTCCGGGGCCCTGTCACCTCTCAGCCCGCGTCCACTGACTTATGAGGCCTGTGGCTTTTCACCCGAGAAAGCTCAGGCGTCCCCCTCTTGCCTTGCCCACCGCAGATGTCCGGCTTTCCAACCCCGTGCTCATCCATCCCAACTGCCCGCTACGTGACAGTCTCTGGACAACTGCTGCGTCTCCTAACAGACGTTTCCCCCCCAGCTGAGGCCAGGATGGACCCCTGCTGTGTGGTCCCGGCAGCCTCACCTAGTCCCAACCGCCTGCTCCTACGTAGCCCTCCTGTGGGCCCCACTCACTGCTGGCCCCCACCACGCTCCCACTTGGCATCTCTGCCCACCCTTAGCCCTCAGAACCCCCATCTGGGCTTCAACTGGCCCCCTCCCCGGCACTCCCCTTCCCTCCAGGGCTTCTTTCAGGCTCAGCCTCTCCTTCCAGGCGCCCTCTTGCAGCCTCACTCTGACCACCTGGCTTCCATAATTTCCACCCCTATCCCATGCCCAAAGTGTCCTTCCTGAGGATAAACCTGCCTTTTCATTCAGCAAGTATTTATAGAGGGACCCCTATATGCCAGGCACCGATCTAGATGCTGGGCATAAGCCATGAACAGAACCCGCACAATTTTTCCCTGCCTTTCTCCAGCATCTTACTTGTATCAGACGGTAAAAGAATAATAATAATAATAATAATACATTATATGGTATGTTGGAAAGTGGCAAGTTCTGTGGGAGAAAAATAAAGCAGAGCAGGCAGCTGGGGAGCATGGGGTGGAGTCCGGGTTGGAAACTTGAAGAGAGGCCTTCAAGGAGGCCAGGAGGGGTGGTCCAGGCAGAGACACAGCTTTGCAAAAGGTGAGGGTGGTGGACAGGAGACCAGGATGGCTGGAGGGGGACAAAGCAGCTGGACAGAGGACATGTAGGTCTTTGTGTGGACTTTGGTTTTTGCTGAGAGAGCTGGGGAAGCGTTGGAGGGTTTGGATTCAGGCAGTGATGTGATCTCATGTCATGAAATAATCTGGCTGCTGGGTGGTGGGGGGACAAAGGTGGGAGCTGAGAGGCCAGGCGGAAGATAATCGTAGTTTGGCCTAGGTGGTAAATGGAGTGCTGAAAAGTGGTTGAATTCTGGATCTATTCTTTTTTTCTTTATTTGTCTTTTTAGAGAGAGAGGAAGGAAGAAGGAGAGGGAGATAGAAACATCGATAGAGAAATTGATTGGCTGCCTCCTGCATGGCCCCTACTGGGAATTTGGCCCACAACCTGCGCATGTGCCCTGACGAGGAATCCAACTGGTGACCTCTTGGTACATGGGTTGACGCTCAACCACTGAGCCACACTGGCTGGGCGAATTCTGGATAAATTCTGAAGGTAGAACCAAGATAGCCTGCAAATTGGATATGGAAGGTGAGAAGAACAAGAGTCCAGGACAACTATAAGGTTCTCAGTTGGAAGCTGGAAGGAAGGACTTGCTGTCATTGAGATGGGGAAGCCTGCAGGCGCAGGTCCAGAGGAGGTCAGGAGTCCCCTTGTGAACACAAGTTTCAAGTTTTTTGTTTGTTTGGTTTGCAACTGAAATCTTCCTAAAATTTTCTTCTTGTTGTTGTTAACCCCCACCCGAGGATATTTTTCCACTGATTTTTTTTTTTTTCAATCCTCACCCAAGGACATTTTTCTATTTATCTTTCAGATGGAGTGGGAAGGAGGGAGAGAGAGAAATATCGATGTGAGAGGGACACATTGACTGGTTGCCTCCCGCACAACCCCGACAAGAGTAGGGGATGAACCACAACCGAGGTATGTGCCCTTGACCAGAATCAAACCCAAGACTCATTGGTCCATAGGCTGACACTCTAACCACTGAGCCAAACAGGCCAGTGCTTCCCGTTGATTTTTAGAGCAGAAAGGAGAGAGAGAGAGAGAGAGAGAGAGGGAGAGAGAAACATCGATGTGAGAGAGACACATTGACTGGTTGCCTCCTGCTCAACCCTGACCTGGGCTGGGGATCAAACCTGCAACCCAGGTACATGCCCTTGACTGGAATTGAACCCGAGACCTTGTGGTCCAAGGGCCAATGCTCTAACGACCAAGTCAAACCAGCCAGGGCCATAAGTTTAAGATTTTTATTAGAAATCCAAGTACATATATCGGTAGACACTTGAAGATGAATCTGGAGTCCAGTTGAGGTGAATCTGCACAACATGGAGGGAAGAAAGAACAGGACTAATACCTCCAACACAGGGAGGCTGGGAGAAGAGGGTCCAGCAGAGGCGATGGAAAAGGGGGAGTCATCAGCGTAGGAGAAAAATGGAAGCACGGAAGCCGAGGGAAGAAAGTGAGACAGGAGGAAGGTGTGGTCAGCTCGTCACATGCTGCCAGGAGGTCAACTAAGATGAGGATTTAGTGACATGGAGGCCACTGGGGCCTTTATTCAGCTCTACCAGTCCCCTCTACTCCCCACAGCTTCCTGCTCCTGGTTCTCCAGGTCTCCTGGGACCTAAATCAGCAACCACAGACACTTGTCACTGTCCCTTCCTGCCATTTTCATTTCCTGTCCCTAAGCCTGAGTTCAACACTGGAGCATGGAGCCTGTTCTTTATTTTTATTCATTGTTTTGTTGTTTTCGTTTAAATAAATTATTTTTAAATGATCTATTTTAAGAAAAGTATTAAGTAAATGAAAGTATAGGTGCCCGTTGATAGGTACAAATCATCAGAGCCGTGCGGCTGAAGGTACTCAAGTTGGGACACAATGTCTCTTTCCCTCTTCCTCTAATCCTTCTCCAGATGTGGCCAGGAACCTTTGTAAAGCACACATTTGAGAGCATGTCAGCCCATCAGACCCAAGATAAAGTTCAACCTCAGCAGGGCGTGTAAACGGACAGCCCAATCTGCCCTTCTCCAATGCTGCTCCTTCCGGAGCTGCTCCAGCTAAGACCCTCCCTGCCCAGTCCCCTGCTTCTCCTCTTCCTGCTTGTCAAGCTCCATTCAACCTTCCAGACTCAGCAGGACTCCCCATTCCCCCAGATGGCCTCCCTGACCCTCTAGGCTGGGGTAAGTGTCCTGTGCATACCTTTCACCCCACCCCACTAGCACCTTTACCGCTTCCTGTTGGCAATTTTCTGTTTGTGTCTGTGACCACTGTCCTGGGAACCTTTCAAGAGAGTGCAGGGATTGTATGGCTTTCACGTTAATGTCTCAGCCTCCTGGGACACACGTAGCAAACATCCAGTACGTGTACGTTGAGTGGGTACGTGTCTCTGTAGGCACCTGTTCTGCCTCTACCTCCTTCCTCCCGTGGCTCCTCTGGGATTGATTTAAATGACCTTCCTGCTGCAGCAGACTAGGTGTCTCCTGCTTCAGTCCCAGGGCCTGATTCACAGGGGCACAGGGACGAATCAATAAATATCAAACCGTAAAACCAAGACCAAGAGCTGTAGAGGCCCAAGGTTATTAGGGGTGTTAATAAAAAATATTCGGTCTGGCTTGCAAATGTGAATATAGGCTTATTTAGTCTGTCTCCAAGAACTCTCTAAATCAGAAGTTAAAATCCATACCTGTGAGCTGTTGGCAATATCTTCTTTATTTTTATTTTTTTTACTATGTTTTTAAATTATAAAAACAACACATGCTCATGGGTTTATTGTTTTTAAAGAAGCAAAATGAAAGGGAGAAGTAGAAGGGGGGGAAAGGAAGAAAGACATAGCCACTGTTAATGTTTGTGTCTTTCCAGACATTGTCTTACACAAATGGGATTTGTGCTGTGCATCTTCTCAGCGTGCTCGCTTCACTTCCTGTGTCTTAAACATTTTCCATGTCCCCACGGAGACACCTGCTGCAGTCATGTCACTTCCGTGTGTTGATGTACGACAACGTAACTTGACTCTATTGGTGAGCAATGAGAGTTCTTCTCCCCAACTTTTCACAGTTGCAAATATCCTGCGACCGACATCCCCCTCACGGTACACTTTGCACACGCGGTCGAGAACAGAAAGGGTACATCCCGGAACTGGACTTGGTGTGGAAAAGTTGCCGTCTTTATAGTCTTACCGAGTGGTTTTCCAAAGGCTGCCCACCTAGACTCCTGCTTAGCAGGGTACCGGGCTACCTGAAGGGCACCCCTCTCACCAACCATGGGCACGATCAGACTTTGCTAGTCTGTTAGGTGAAAAATGACATCTCGCCCTGGCAGGTTTGGCTCAGCGGTTAGAACGCCGGCCTGCGGACCAGAGAGACCCGGGTTTGGTTCCCGCTAAGGGCACGTACCTCAGTTGCAGTTTGTCCCCGGCCCTGGTTGGGGTCGTGTGGGTGGCAGCCGCTCGATGTGTTCCTTTCGCATCGATGTTTCTCTCTCTCTCTTCCTCCTTCTCTCCTTCCAGCTCGATCTGAAGATAAATGCAAAAATGTCCTCGGGTGAGGATAAAAAAAGAAAAATAACATCTCCTTGTTTTGATTTGCATTGTAAAAAATTATGACTGAGGTTTAGCATCTTTTTATTTGTTTTGCAATAACCTTTTTATGTTCAAGGATGAGGTCATGTGTTTTTGTTTTTTTTTAAATCC